AAGTTGCCTAATGAGCTAAATGAATTAAAATTGGTTACATGTAAGTGATGAATTAGTAAAAAAATTATCAAGCTTTAAAAAGTTGTCTCCCAAATGAATATTTAGTCAAAAATTTACAGGGCAAGGGATAGTCATGTCCAACAGGATTTCGCTTAATTACCCTATACATAACATTCTTGAACTCTTAGTACACTTCTCATTAAGAAAATTAAAAGGGCAACCTAGTCCATAAGGCTCCTGCCAATGGGAGATTTGGGAAAGGTCAATATGTATAGTCTTACCCTGGTCACTGGGTCACAACAGATGAGTAGTTTTGTCATGGCGTAGGCTAATCCTTTACTTCTTAAAAAGACAATTGATGTCTGAGCACCTACTTACAAGTAACTCTATGTGCTCATGCATGATTATTTGATGACTAAAACGGCTACTAGTTTGACTTCATGTGATATTTTGTACAAAATTATGTTAATAATGTATTTGAAAAAAAATTGCTTGAAAACAATTTAAGTTTTACTAGTGAATTTGTGGATTGTACAAAAAACTACTATACTAAACATAAACTTACACAGCAATAATCTGTATATGACAAGAATAAGACTTCAATATGCAATGATTTAATTTTTCTTGGTTAAAGTTCAGGCTGAAGGATGTTTGGAACTATTTCAAGACACAACAAGATAAAACAGCAGTGAAGCCAACACTTAGTTGTTTCAGATAATCTAATACCATTGTTGATTTCCTTTCTGTTTCAGCATCCAACACCATTGCAAAATAACACAAAATAATGCAGACAACAAATTTATGACATTTTAGATATTTTACCAGTTCCTAAGCAATGTAAGGCAATCTTGACACACTCAGTATGGTCTGAATGTAATTCAAAATTTCATCTCAAAACAACCCATACCAATGTAGGAAAATTTCTCAATATAACAAAACCTAAGCTAAAACCAAATTAGTGTAAATGATTTTCTATCCAGATTCTGAACTCAGCAGCATTGGATTATTTCTCAATCCATTTTTAACATGGCCCATTTCCTGACACAATGCATCTTTAAAGTTTCTAACTGAATAGATGACAAGACAAGTATGATTTGCAATATGACCTCAGGTAGAGTGGCGTTTGCATTTATCACCATATAGTCAAGAAAAAATTATCTGATGACACATCATAAGAGAAGTACAATGTTTCACAAAAAAGAACTTAAAATTATCAAACAAGCCTACTCTTCATAAACAATGAAGCCACAAGAAAATAACAGTTTATATGCACAGATATGCACATGCATGAAATATTGGCAATGAAAAATCAATAACTCTGCCAAAAAAAAAGGAAGAGAAAAGTAAAATTAAGGAACTTAATTAACGAATGAAAAGGCATGCATCAGACCGTTGCCATCAGATTTGTTTACTTCATCATCATCAGTAATATGCATGTGGTTGGCAAATAGGATATTTGGATCTGAACTTCTTTAGTTAAATATAATTGAATAAAGTGGAGGCAATATGTCAAGTAGCGTTGCGACATCATCAAAAAATGGACAGATAAGGAGGTTGGCAATTAGACACTCATTTACCTTTGTCATTCAAACTATATGATGTATCACTTGCATGGCATTCAAAAGTCAAGGTTGAGCTCATATGATGTGATAAATAATTTAATTGATTTGGCGATGCCAGCAAATTATATTCAATACTTGGTAATTCAATCAACCAATGGGGCACTTGGAGTAATATTTGTTATTCATCTTTGTTATCCCTAGTTCCCTGTCCTACGGAAATATATATATATATATATATATATATATATACACACACACACATGTGAATGAGCATAGTGACCAAGGGTGAATTAAATGACGATATTGGCTTATCAGGTGGCAATGAGATGTTTCTTCCGAATGAACCACACTTGTAGTGTGAAGTATATAACACTAATGTTCAAATTGATCCAACTTAACTAAACTCTACAACCCAGAATTCAAGTTATGCCATACTAGCTATGTGCATGTGAATGTGAAGAGTGGCTAGACGGGGATGTACATCTATCATTCACTGACTGGCTCTTCTTGGATTATATCTGCTAGTAATTCATCACTAACAGTGAGAGAAGTACAAAAACATCAACAAATAAATAAATCAAATTTGTCTATACGGTTACAAAATTTAGAAAAAGAAGGCTCAGAAGGCCCTTCTAAAGGAATAACCAAAAGACACATGGAACTTAATTGGCTCTTTGTACAATGAACTTTGCATTATCTAAAAATGGTGAGAATGTTTCATTTAAAATGTTGTGTGCAATATAGCCCAACAAAGTAGTTGAGGTGTAAAAATTGGAAGGAAATTCCACAAAAATTTCAAACAAACATGAATCACAAGAGCACACAACAATTAAACATTAGTAGCCTTTTATCAATCCAGCCGTATCCCAAAAAATGACAACAGAAGCGAATAGACACACTAAAGGAAGCATCAAAAACATACATACCGGCATGTGCTATGTGGAATTCTTGATGGCATGTGCTAAGTACAATGATCCTGAGAAAGAAAAACAAATGTACATTACGAGCCAAAAAGCGCGGCACTAGTCCTGAAACAAACTCGACCATAACCCATGAAGAGCAACAAGAATCAAGATTTGGAAGCAACGATTAGGCACCCAAAAGGAAACAAAGAATAGAACTAAAATCAGTACTTTTAGTCGGAAAAAGGCTGCACATATCACAGAAATTTCCCTCAAAAAGATTCAGCATTCTAATTGTAACTCAAAACGTTCACAAAAACGCCCGATCTTCAGCACCACGAAATAAAGATCCTTCCATCATTCAACAGAAAACCTCATCATTTTTCTGCATAATGGCACCTTTTGCAGAAATGGCATTGAACAAATGCGGAAATCCCCTAAATCGGATCCATGTTTTTTCTGCCTGAAGCATGATGAACAATAAAAGTATACGCCAACTTTCACAAAGACGGCAAAGGAGGGATTTTTAAGTCAAAGAGTTACCTCAAAATCTCAACTTGATGAAAGAAACGAACGAAGAGCGAGGATTGACCGAGTGAAACAAGTCAAGATTTCCAAAATGTGGGAGTGAAGGAGCTTTATAGACGATTCCTCCGCAGTGGGAGACGATCCCAGATTTCTAGCTCTATTTGATCGCTTTTTTTAGGGTTTGAGCTGGCGGCTACCCTCACTCGCTTCCGACACGCCGAAACTATTAAAGATTTCCCCCCAATCCCGCCGAGATTCCAAAATTTGGCGATGCTGCCATTGGCCATGTGTTCGCCAAACTGGCTCCTCCTCTCTCCTCCCTTTTCTCTTTCCCCTTCTTATTCTACTACTATTCCTTTTTTATATTATTTTTTCTCCCCTTTTTTTCCTTTGTCGTACGGTGTCTTCGTTTAACAAAGCAAAATAATAATAATAATAATAATAATAAAATGTTGTCTGATAATGCTATTAATTTTCTGAAAACATTGCAAATCAAGCTTTTTATATACTTAATGAACCTATCAGGAAAGTGTAATCAATATACCAAATCAATACAAGAACGAAATCCAATCCAATTTTGGTCGTTTATGTGTCTTACAAGACTACTAATTTTGCTAAGGTTTTTTGTTAATGACATTCAGAAAATAAAAATAATAATATGGATATGATAAAGCATTTTATGTGCATGATAAATAAAATTACTAGTAGAAAAGAAAGAAAATGAAATAAGTTAGTACAAGTAAAAGTATTAGGTGTATGAACTTCTTTCAAAATCATTATTTTTTGTTAGGAAAAAGAAGTAATTGAAAGCTTTGAGAATATTTAATCAAAAAAAAATTCTCCTTGACATATTTCTTTTGATGTTTTATTTTCATAAATTAGACAGGGTAAGAAACAATTAAAATGAATAGCAAAATTTTAAATTTTGATGAAAATTATTTGAAGGTGATAGAAGATTACTGAGAGGGCAACAAAGAAATTAAATTAATAATAATCAAGTGCACCATCTCAAGAAACATGTATAAAAAATATCATACTTTTCCTTGTCATTTTTTTGTGAAAGTGAAATTACATGGGTTGACATTATGAATATGTCAACAGTGCAGTTTGGTGCCACAATAATCTTTACAAAAGAAAGTCAACTTAGAAGAAGCAAAATTTCAGCATCAGAAGCAACTGACAATTTGCATTACTGATCTGAAAACCCATCACCTAATCTAGGGTACATTTTAATCCAGTCACTTACATGTAGGATTGCTTTCCTGGATTCTTCCTTGGCAAATAAAAAAAATGTAAATGCTGATTTGATAGCATGGTCAAGCTACTAATCTGGTACCATCAGCAAGTTCTACATTGACCATCAGCAAGTTCTACTTCTGTAATCTTCCTTCAGCCACCATTTTTATTCATACTCAAATCTCATGTTTGCTGATATTTTTCTTCAAATTTTGTGTGGAAAGAACAAGATGAAATGGAGTGACATTGACCTGATGGCAGAAAGGTAGGGATTAGAGCTTTATCAGTCACAGAGTGTCCTCCATTGCCAATCATATTCTTTGGATCCTTTTGACTTTAATGATTTCACATGCCCACTCCAAAGGCAAGACCTGGATTTATGCTAGCCTTTCTCATATATGTATAGGATCACAAGAGCCTCTATTTAGCTTGGGAATCTATATAAAACATGCAGCAGTTGTAGATGCATGTGAGACCTTCCACCCTAGATGGAAACTTTGAAGTACCACCATATGACAAAAGCAAGAACAGAGAGGTAGGGTTCATGGAGATGCAATCTATGCACATTGCAAGCCACATAAACTACAACATCTGTTTTAGATCTGCTTATGTTGGTTGAATGTTCCATCTGCTGGTCAGAATAGTATTATTCTATGTGAAGTGGGTTGGTGGTGGATGTGCATCCAGTGGCATGAAGGGATGATGTCTTCTTCTTATTCTTTTAAGCCAATGTTGACTGCACAAATATCCACTTCTTGTGTCATCCTGTTACAGGAAATGTTTAGATGAGAGATTATCACCTAATCATGAATTAATGATGCAAGCTGTGCTGGGAGATGTAGCAAACCTAAGAAGAATACAGATAACTATTTTTATATTCATTCAGTCATCTCCTTATGGATGTCTTGTTAGTCTTCTTATTGCTAAACAATCTTGGAAGCAACATGACCAAATTGTTTTTGTATGTCTGCTGATAAGTCTGATCACACTATTTCTGCTTTAAAAGATGGAAAGAGAATTAGATCTTCTTCTGAAGGTGCAAGGGCCAGTCAATGGCACCCACCATTAGTTGCCTGGGCAGTCTTTTGTTGGCCATCTTGTTGAATCTTGTGAGTTTGCACCAATTCAGATCAATGAGAAGGGTTACCCTCTTGCACATGGTGTAAGATTCTACCCTTGGTTTCAGTGGATAGAGATGGATTTGTTCTTGATGGCTTGTCAGCTTCCAATCAAATAAATGACCAACCAAGGCAGTCACATAGATGTGTTACAGGTAGAGATCCAAATTATTCTAGCTCTGTTAAGATATTCAAATCCCCTCTCTTTTCTTCCTTTCTTACCTTTTGATTTTATACTTCCAACTCTCTTTCTATCTCACATGCTTAGCCATCAAACCAACTGTGACTAGTTTCTCCATATCAGTGTCTTCTCCAGCTAACTCAAGTGGAGGGCAAGAATCATGCTGAATTAAGAAATCTATTAACACAAATAACAAACAAGTTCACAATTGAATGATGTGAAACTGAGTATACTAGTCAGCATCAGAAACAATATTGAATAAGCAATAGGTGTAATCAGAACTATTTTTCTTCTTCTTCTTCAGCAAGAGTGTGATGGAAACAATTAATCAACCTATTCACCATTACTGCTGCTATCTATGCATCTCAAGCTAAACTAAAGGAGTTTGGTCAGTGCCCTATGTATATAAATCACCTTGAAACTGTGGTTGGCTCAGCTTCTGTTCTTTCAGATGAATGCTCCACATGATGAGGCTCTGCATACCTGTAAAGGAGATCTGTAAGGCTCTCCCATGCTCTTCTGACAGATAGCAAGCTTTTAGAACTTGTCTAGTGTTGCAGGAGCATTCTTATGGGGGTTCAAAGAAAATATTGACTGATGTGACCAAAAGATTATATATTCTATTTGGTTGCAACTTCTCTCCTATTCCAGCTATTGTGGAAGCTCTAATGAGGCGGCATCATTATCATTCTACACCTTTTGACATCTTCCATGAGAACACACTGCTATAAAATGTAGATGACATTTTATATCAGACCTATATGCAGTCTATCCAAATTAATATTCACATTTTGAAGTATCCAATAGGAGATGATGCAGGAAGGGTTGTGGTGGGCTTGTTCACTGGCAATCACTTTCCTTCTAGTGATACTAATCTTTTTATGTTTGTTTAATCATCAGCCATCACATATATTTTGTGACTGGATGGCAATCACTTTGAGATTAAGTTCTAGTATTTGAATAGGGATCTGATAATTGTCACAAGAAAGCTTTATCCTGAGCCTTCTCCAATCATTGTTTCTACCTCCACTGTAATTAATTGATTTTTCTGGATACACTTTGTTAACTTACATTTCAATGTAGTGTTTGACTGCAAAGTTTGCTTAATTGCCACTGCAAGATGATACAAGATGTAATCAACATTAAGCCCTTGAATGACTGTTCAATGTACAGGTATGTCTAGTTGATAAGATCACAGTGGTGGGACTAGAAATCTATCCAACTAATTAACTAATAGATGACAGAAAAAATATGAGGGTAAATGACTCTACTATATGATGAACAGTGAAGGTCTCTACAACCTTTTGGCAGTCAAGGGCATATGAAGCCATGTTCCATACCTTGCAAGGTGCCTTTATTTTAATGGCAGGATGAAGGTTGGGAATCCTGAGTCCTGTTCATTTGAACAATGTGATTTGGTCTTACAGTATTAGGACAAATAAAAAAAAATGATGCAAGCTTCCTGTTACAGTTTTTTCATTTTTATTTTCCACTGCAGATATCTCCAATATTTGAGTCTAGAATCCAAAGAAGGACCATGGCTGAACATAAACTCTTGACACTAAACTAAAGCACATTGTCTTTGACTTAGTTGAAGGATCTCACACTAGTACAATTCTCATGCACAAATAATAGGCAGTGGAAACTAAAATTTGGCATGCTTCTTGCATGATCTAGCAAAAAGCATGATGGACCCATTTGCTTCAAGGAATGTTGCTTTCCCTATAAGGGGACATCAAGAGATGGCATTTAGAAGTCAAACAACAAAAAATTAGGTCTTTATATTTGAGTCTAATCAAATTCTGGAGGTGATAAAAAGTACCTGAGATGGTTGCGCACAGTCCGCTGGTCCAACACATGGGATTCCACAATGTCTTGAAGCAGCAACTGTGCTCAATCAAGGATGAGACATTTCAGAACACAAGAAAACCATCCATTAGAGCTTGTCAAAACTAAACAGACACAAAATACAGAGACAAGTATGTATTAGGACTACAGAGTTCATGTCTAAATTGAGATCAAGGAGATTTGGCGAGCATATCAATTTGCTGCTGCATCCAAAATGGTTCTCCTCTTCATATTGCTGAAGCCCCCCGTCTGAAACGACCACCACAAATTCTCAATTCCTTCATGCTCTGGCCCTTTTGGTACTGCAACCAGGGCATTTGTACTGCTTGATGTGCTCAGCCCTTGCAGGAGTAATCTTAACGCACTTCCCATGGTACCATTTTTCACACACATCACAACAAATCCAGAACTCATCATTAGCATAGTTGTCCCCGCATGCACCACATAGAGTGTTTCCATGTTCCTCCATGTCCTCATTGTCCTCTCCTTCACTCCCTGCCCCTTCCTTTGGTGGAGGCATCTTTGAGGCCTTTGTATAAGACTCAGACTGCCGTGAGTTCTGAAGTAACAGACCAATAATAAGAAAAAATAAAAGAGGTCACAAGTGTTATGCATGCAAATATCACCTTCAAACCAGACTTGTTGCTCTTGCTGCTGTTGTTAGTTCTTTCTTTTGATTGTTTTCTGGAGGTTCCTGTTACAACTTCATATATAGTTGGGAGACCATTAATCATGTGGAAAAGCCTCTTCCTGCAATTAAAATGCCATGGGAAAAAACATGTCAAAGCAGAACACTGGGATAAATCATCATCTGTACTTGGAGATGGCTGACAAATAACTAATAGAGACAATCAAAAGATGATATACTACATAAGTGCCTAACAGAGCAATTGAAGATATGATATCTTCCAGAAATGTTAGATGATTTCCTTTTCCTAGAGTGGCAACCTATCTTCTACATGTCAACCATGTAATTCTCATCCCTTTTGACTGTTAGCATCACAGTCAACAAATTGTAACAACATGCATGATGTTACAAGCCGGCATGATGAGAAAAACCTAATATCAATTGAAAGGCAATATACATTATGGACAATATCATTTCCAGTCACAAATACGATTTTCACCAAAACATCAGCTACCAAGTTTAGGTGACATGAACTAAAAAGGAAAAAAAGTCACCAGCCTAACTTCATGATGTTGGTACATAACAATAATTTCAGTAGCACTGGAACATAGCAAAAAATCAAGAAAGAATGGTTCGAGATATGAGAATAATTCATATAAAAGAAACGGTAAAGACAAGTCCACACCAAAAATATTATTCATTGCATGTAAGCTGAAGGAGCAATGCAAGAGGAAGTCGTAAAATACAGCTAAAAGAACTTGAAAGATACATTCACAATTTAGCTATATAGCTGTTATTTAAAATACAAGAGTCAGAAAAAAAATACAAGTCTTGTGAAAACTTAAAAGGTTACAGAGGTAGCATCTTAAGTGCAAGGACACCTAATATTTTTATACTTCCCTTGCCAGATATAATTGTAAATCCACAATAGGTGAGACTCAGGGTGCATGGTTAATTTAAGATGTCCTCTGAATGGAGGCACAAAAGAAAAAAGAACTATCCACTAATGACAACTAAGAGGAAAAGAAAGGCATAAAAAGGGAATTCTCAGTTCCACTGGAACATCCCATTCTTCCAAGTTGGTTTCAAATCACAAATTGTATATCCAATTACAATTACACAAGCAAAAACAAGCAATTATTACATCAGCATATAAATGAACAGAGAGAAGCCACGCAGATCCATAGCATAGTCATCCCACAGACCGAGAATAGATCTAGCAAGTTCAATGTCCAGCATCTTCGGTGCTGGTGAAAAGAGAATAAGCAAAATACATTAAGCAGATAACTATGAGATCCCTAATCATCTTCTGTTTAACACAAGGTCACTTCTAATCTTTATGAGCTTTCGGCAGGTTGAAAAATAGGTTTTGTAAAGTACATAAAGCAGGTTTGGGAAATCAAACTCCAATATTGTGTACACCTGTTGCAGCTCCCATACACGTTTTAGTAGCAAGCTCGCGATAGTTCAGAAGATCATAACTTTGCCACTGGACTACAAATAAAACACTGGTTGAAAATCACCGGAAAAAATGTTGATTTATTCAAAAATTTAAGATGCCTATCATGATAAAGTTATGGCATTGTGTATAATTATAACAACATAGCATTCTACAAGGTTAACATATAAGGCATAACATTAGCAAATCATGTAATGCAAAATTTCAGAAGTATAAAACAATTATTCAATAATATCCAGATAATACATGGGCAATTATAAAAACAACAATATTTCCAATGAAGCAAGAAGGAAAAATGAATATGTTGCCTAGCTGCAGTGAACCGTGCTGAGACCTTAACATAATTAATGAGATCCCACTATACCCTTTTGAAATATAATCTGGTAAATAATTACTGAGATCACACAACTCCTTTTGGAAGTCTGATTTGGCTTCTTATTCCAATTCACAGTACTTTTGAGTCCTAAATCACCGTGGTAGATAATTCAAAACTCTAAAACAGGGATCTAAGCTAATAATGGTCAGCAATTTTGTAGATACAAACCAATTAAAGGCATAAATGCATATGTGTTCCCATGAAAATCCCAAAATAACAAAAGAAGTAATAATGAAAAGAAAAAGAGTTTGCAAGTTGAGGTGTTATCCTGCTTGGATATACAGTCACCCATAAGACTAAAAAATTTAATCTAATGTAGCAAGTTGTGTTACCTGATTTGATATGCCATTACCTACATATCACAAAACATAACAATTTGATATGTCATAACCTACATACCATGAAGCAAAGTAAGTGGTGTATCACAAACCAGCATGGGTACCATGATCCAATACACATCAAACTAACTGGTGTATCACACTCCATGCCTACCGTGAAGAAAAACATAGCAAACTAACTGGTATATCACATACTGGCATGCATAAGATAACACATAACATTCTTTGTAACTAATAACAATGTGCTTGAATGCATGCTTATAACACAAAACATGCACAACATGATCAAATGAAACAAGTAACCAACAAGGCACCAATAAAGTGCAGTCCAAGGCATATGATTCAATATTGTTAGTTTCTAATTAACTGAGGTCCCTATCCATGCACAATTATAATACTGTAAAGATGCATTAACAAAGAACATGACAACAACAGCATTAGATTTATAGCAATCCATGAAATACAACTTAGGACAGTAATTATCATAGCTGAAATGCAACAGAAAAGAGTTTCCATGAAAGACAAAATGTCTTAAAGACAAACAGCTAACAACTGAAAGCAATAACCAGCAGACAATAGGCAGGGGAACAAAGAAAGAAAAGGAAAAGTACCTAGCTTCTTTATCAAACCCAAAACGTGCTCCAAAATAGAAAGCAACAGACAGTAACCATGCATCACTGTGAACTGCAACCAGTGACAACCAATCCTTTTCAGCCATTCCATCCCTCGCAAAGTTTATTCCTAATGCCGGTTCTGGAAGTTCAGCTGGAACTTCCTCAGCTGGCAAGTTTACCTCCCAAGTCTCATTAGGTAGCCCATATAGACATAAATTCTCCTTTTCTGCAGAACCAGTCAAATTAAATTAATAACCTAAAAGTTCATCAAAACCAAATCACTTTTAACTTCTTTACATAAGGAATGCAGCCATCACGCATAATAATACAGTTCCCATAATCATCAGTGATAGACTATTAGTCCATTACATCACTAAAGGACAAAGAACGCTGAAACTGTGCATTTGCTGTGAGTTCAAAGCTACAGAAGAATTGTGTTTTTGATAGAACTACAACCACAGATCAGCATTCCATCAACGTTGACGTTTTACAAGATAGAAAAATCCAGTTATCATGACTAATGGGAGAAGTGTGCTCGCTCTTGTATGATAAAAGAACTCATAGGTCAAAGACTTTAACAATAATCCGCAAAACAGCAACCACATTTCTGAAAACCCTAAAAGAACCTGAAGGAGAAAACAAATTTAAAGAAACAAACAAAGCCAACCGAGCAGACTCATCAGTACCGCCTCCTCTAGAAATCTTTAAGAAAAGGTCGGGTTTTTCCGTTCCTTTTCTTGAGAACACTCCATGAATGAAAGAAAAAAGTGGGGAAGGAGCCTAAATCCTAACGTTCCAACAAACCGAACAAAACAACTATCGGTGCCACGACGAACAAGAGACCTCACCGGGATCACATTGCTGGTAGAACTTCTCGACATCTGCAACGCAATCGAAGCCAAATGAAACTCCCATCGATCAACAAGTACCAACCAAATTCAAGGCACAAACACCCAAAAAATCGAACTTTATGTACCAGTGGTCAGAGCCTTGATCATTCCGGCCCGCCGGCTTCTGAAATCCCTGAAGACATCCTCAGGAGTCCGAGGATTGTAATCCGCCGCACCCCCTTCCATTCCCCACCTAGCCGACCGTCCTCGGACTCCCAAACCCCGCCTGAATCAGCGAACCCAGAAGGAAAAGCAAGAAAGTTACTGTTTTGGGGTTTGGGGTTAGGGTTTCCGGCCGATAAATAGAGGGAGACGTTGGATTCCCTCCGTCCAAAAAAGCGAAGCAAGGCGGAGACCCAAAAAGGGCCGAAGGTTTCTTTCAAATTTATTCTTCTATTTAGGTCCATAATTGGGTCATATTTACGAGTTCCCCCCTCAAACAGTACTATATTGCGTGCTTTGCGTGTGGCCTTAATGAGGTTGAGTTTACAGAGTCATTACAGAGGAAGAAACAGCCTTGTGGCGTTGACTCCACTCTCCCAGTAGATCCAGAAATCGACATTTCCACTGCCAACATCAATTCCCATCAATGAGTTGTGCCAAGAATAAGACTTGACAATATCAATGGGGCTCATGGAGAAGGCCAAAAGTGAACTCCCCTGCGCACTGTCTTCTGTTCTGACCACAAGAACACCAGAAGAAGGGTACCTCAACCAGAAACCAGTCGATCGATGCCTGTTCGAGACTGCGTCGAAAGGTGTTGAAGGAGGAGGAGATACGCAAGTTACAGAAGCTGGAATGACGCACGATCGAGAAAGGTCAAATCCAGTGATGGCATAGAGTACATGCTCGATCAAATTCATTCAGCTGCAATAGGGTAGAAACGGCGACTCAAAGAAGAACGGAATGGGAGAAGTCCTTTCGAGTACCTCATGAGCATTGCAGCAGATCAACTTGAAAGATTTCATCCCAAGAACTCTTTCCAGAAATAGCAAGAGACGGGGGAGGAATTCGAAGACCGGAGAGGAAGTTGGTTGGATCATGGAGGTACCTGTGGTTGTTCCGGAGGCGCTGCCGGGGGTTGCCTCGTCGTCCGCCAAAGAGACGTGTATCGCCCCACTCTTCCTCTCCCGCCCAGAGTTGGAAATCGTGTTCGCTGATACGGCTATTTGGCCTGACCGAACCGCGTCATGGGACAGACCATCAGTATCAGGAGCCGCACAACATGGTAGACGATATTAAGCAAGACGATTTCACAGAGAGAGAGAGAGAGAGAGAGAGAGAGAGAGAGAGAGAGAGAGAGAGAGAGATATATATATATATATATATATATATATATATATATATAGTGAATTCTTAAAAAAATTTGTAAGTTAATTTTTCTTTTTGTAAAGCGTGCCACTTTAAAAAATTTTCACATAAGTCCCTTAACCATATAAAAAGATCATTTTACATTGGTCTTCGTGACCACCCACACTAGCCTTAGTCATCGTTATCAAAGGCACGCATGAAGAGGGATGACTGATAGGGCTAATCTGCATGTAGAGGCACAAACATAACTAGCCAATTATCGTGGGCTTAATTGGTTTTACCTAGGTTATATAATACTTTTGCATTTTCATCTATAAAAGATTAATCTTTATGAAACATCGGTTTAACGACTTACAAAAAAGAAGATGAGTTAGATAAAATATTTAATTCGAAATCTAATAAGTAGATATTTCAGTAAATACTTTATAAATAATATAAATTACATAGACTTCATAAGCTTTGAATCGTCACATGATAAAAGGTCTTATGTTATTTGTCACGGTCAAAAAATCCCTACAAGTATCCATATGACACTGCTATGGAACAAGGCTGCGAACCAGCACTAGATATTACCCTAAAAGCTTATCCAGTCATGTACCACTTAGGTAACTCTATGATGTTATGTTGACTTGCACTCCATACCACTTTACAAAGCTAGAAAATCCTTAAAATAATTACTTAGATTGCTTATTTTTAAATAGATTTATCTCTACACAATAATTGCATATAACCTATGTTTATAGGACTAAGACAACCATAAAAGTCAACCAAAATAAGATTGTCAATCTGTTACAAGCTTTATACATGTTATGCAAAGTATGAACAAAATCGAACAATATGACATACTGCATCTCATGGCCTTTGCTAAATCTTTAATATTTTGCTCTAGTTGCAACATGCCTCTTAGCTCCCATCTCCTCTCCGACATATGTAGTTGAACTTTGATTCGCCTTGCTAATGACTTTGACTTTGGTGTGGGATCGATCGAGTTTGATCTTTATTGGTTCATGTCCATTAATCTACTCTTAGTAAAACTCATCATCATTGGTGAGAATTTGACAATCATTATTTTCCATTAAGATTCTTTGATTGGTCTTTGAACATGTGTAGAGCTCTACTATTTGATAAATAAAGAGAACTAAGGTACTCGGTTTCACCAATTCTCTTAAGAGATAAGACAAAAGTTATTTGAACTTCTTTTGCCTCCTCAAGAGTTTACTTCATGCATCAAATTAGTTACTAATTTTTGCCTACTTTTTTCTCACACTTATAACGTACTTGAAGTGTTTATATTCCTTGTATTTAGTTAATTGCTATAATTCACCTCCTCACTATCATCAAACTCTTAAAATGCATGAAGTTTGACCAAAAATAGTAAAATTTCACCCAAATCTAAAACAAGTATTCGATAGTTTTGATCGCCTTTGAGATTGTATCATCTTCTCTATCATTTCTATAGTCTACTCCTCTGAGTAGAAAAGGTATAACACCACGTAATGCTTACTTCATTCTTGGTCGAGTACTACTGTATCAATTCAAAGTCCCACTTACTTTTGAGTATTTTGATGAAAAGCCCATCAACATCGATCTTATGAAGTTCTCTGGCATCTACCCTTCGACCTTGTCTCAATACTCAAGAGTCCACACCTCGATCCCTTTTCACGACTATGTGTTCTCCCTCCATAAGAGCAAGAATCGATGCCTCCATAAAATTCCTATCTCTAAGATACCATGGTGATGCTGTGCATATGGTGCTGCTGTCAATTATCTCACATCCATGTCTTTTTCTTCACAATCGATAGATCTATCTCTATGACACTGTGGTACTTCTTTAAGTCCACCTTCATCCTCACTGGCACTTGGTTTTAGGTAACTAAGTCCCTCAAGACTTATCGTCATTTCCTCACCCCTTTTAACTACCTACTTCAACACCTTTGTATTCTGTGAGTAATTCCCCTTGGTCGATAAAAAGATATAGTACAATTCTTATGCATGGCCTTCGCCATCTTATAGCATGGCTCATATTGATTTTGCTCTTGTTTGCATCTTTGGTAGCAATGTTTAATCTTATTCTCTAGTTTGTTGGGTTCTCTCAAGCGAATATGAGCTTTGGAGCAGTCGAACTCTCAATTCGCTCTAATCATACCACTGTATAATCAAGTCTTTATATGTGACTCACTAGTACTTGTACTCGGAATCCCCCTTGATGGTACATAGCTCCTATACTGATGACTAAGGCTTTCATTTAATATAAAATTTGGTGCACACACAGAAGACTCACCTCTATGATACCATGATATTCATCTCTTAAATTCATATCTCTTCTTACCATCATATTGCTTACTGAAGTGGAGCTCCTAGTAGCTCTCAATCATGCCTCTATATGATTAAATCCCCAATAGGACTTCTATCGTATGTGTTGAATTGCCTCGAACTATTCCACCATGATCTACTATGTTATATCACCTCTTGGTGATATTTCCATTATATTTTTTGTTATTATGAGATAAATTTGAATAGTGATCTCTCCATATGTGACCTTGCTAGCACAGAGCCTCCATCACATTCAATTATATTTGCTCCTTTGGCAATTGACATTCATTCACTTACTCTCGAGTCATATATTGATGAAGCATAGCCTTGAGATAGTCCATTGTCAAATAACTATCAAAATCCACAAACTTTGCTGAAATTGATGCATTATTATTTTAATCCTAGGCCCCTACCCGCAATACAATCTAGGTTGCACATAGCTTTCTTTATAATAACTCAAATAGTAGCACTGAGACATATACTTTAAAAAAACCTATTTTTATATTCTCTTGTCATCCTGTACGAAGGCCTTCTGACCCCAACTTCATCTTTGTAAGTTGAATTATCTTAGTTCCTCCATCAATTGCTTCACCAAGATAATATGTATATGCCTTAAAATTCTCTTTGACTTTGGTATTATGCAAGATAAGTATGTTTCATCAAAACGATGAATCTCATGGAACAATATGATCTTGCTCTTACCTCTATAAGAGTTCATGTCCTCGACTACTATCTAAGAAAATCTGCACACCTTCACTCTATATATCGTCTTCTATATCAACTCTCTTTATGTGACCTGGGCATTTTACCAAGTTCCACCCAAGTTGGTTTATTCCTTGGTTTGCATTGAGTTGATTATGGCTCTCGCACCTACCATTCCATGAGTTAACCCTTTGTTGAATATGATCTTTATATCAGCTCTAAATATTCCTTCATTTGGTGTTGCCTTGGGTCGTTTCTTCATTTGATCTCACAATATATCAATTAATACATTACCTTGTGTGAGATCATACAACAATTCTTCATCGCTCGCTTGGTCTATTAAGCTTTATAGAGTTATTGTTTTGAGGTACTCCCCTCGACATGTGTGGTCCATTGTATATAATTCTCCTTCTGAAGAATTAGAATTCATCTCTCGTACATATCTATCCAGTAGGAGCAACTTTTCTCTTCATGTCATTTCCTTTGGAAGTTTTGGAGATTACCATCCCCTTAGACTACTCTATCTTACTGAACAAATTATGTGCTATTTTGCCACTGCGAACACACCTACTATACCTAATAACATATTGAACTTATTACACACTTCAGCCTCCTGTGAACATATCCTTCTCATGCCGAGGTAAAAGCTTCAATGCCCTATGGCATCAAGTTTCGATCGCCTTAAAATGTCAACGGACGATCCATCATCCATAGACAAGCCTTTGTATATGTACTAAATTTTTGAGTTGGCAATTCTCCTCATATCTATGAGCTTTGCATAACTCTTTTATTCACCGAGAAACCCATCTCTTCTTGCATGGCCTTATCATTTGCTAAGCACCCCACTTGCCTTGAGAACCATCAAGTTTAGTTTCCAACGTCGAGTCATAACTTGAACTCAACCATCTTAACCTTTGTATACTACGCATTCTTCTCAACTCACTTGTTATTGAGAATGGTTGATTATTCATTCTTCTGAATGACAATATCGGATGCTCACTCCTCTAAGCAACTCCATTACTTATATCTCTATGCTATTTTCTCTTAAATGAT